GAGAGTCTAGTAATACTCTTACACAAAAAAGGGGACAAATGTGATCTACAGAATTATAGACCTATATCGTTGCTCAGTCAAGTATTTATGAGAATTATTAATAACCGGTTAACCTACAAAATGGATAATTACCAACCGGTTGAACAGGCTGGCTTCCGCAAAGGATGTAGTACATCAGACCATCTGCTGACAATGAGAACATTGATAGAAAATATACGAAGAATGTTGCGTTTAGATTTAATTTGAGTCTCTTACCACTCCCTGACACGTGTTTCTGGGTCTACCCGTCATCAGAAGGAGTTTTTAAGAAGACTCAAACCAAATCAAAACGCACCGATTACTCTGGCAATTACATAAAAATAACTATCAGAGTATGCAACTAGAGTCCTCTAGTGAGGAAAGATGAAGATACGTCGATAGCAATTAAAGTAAACTGTAAACCCAAGCTTAAACAAGCCATTCAGAGCGGTACTGAGAATATATATTCCACTATGTACCAACAATTTACCCATATAAATTACCATCAATTTTGTACTCATTGCGTCGAGTAGGGACGATAAATATACGCAGAATGTTGCGTTTCGATTTAATTTGAGTCTCTTACCACTCCCTGACACGTGTTTCTGGGTCTACCCGTCATCAGAAGGAGTTGATTGATAGAAAAGGCAAATGAGTACCAACTACCCGTATTTCTTGCCTTCGTCGACTATGAAAAGGCGTTTGATAGTATCGAGATATGGGCCATAGAACAAGCTATTAATAATTGTAGAATAGATTCGAGATATAGGCAACTAATACATAATATATATGAAAATGCAACTATGATAGTGCAACTAGACGAAAATACAAATCCCATCCCCATTAAGAAAGGAGTGAGACAAGGAGACGTAATATCGCCAAAGCTTTTCAACCTAGCCCTAGAAGACGTCTTCAAAACTACAAATTTTTTAACCTATGGCATTAACGTTAATGGCAACAAGTTAAACCACCTCAGATTCGCTGACGACATAGTTATTATAGCGAGCACATTCGAGGAACTGCAAATTATGTTGAGGGAACTAGCAGCTAGCTCCCAATACGTCGGCCTAAAAATGAATATGAAAAAAAAAACAAAAATAATGACAAACACAGATGACCCCAGACATATAACTATAAACGGCAATGAGATAGAAGAAATCCAGGAATATATCTACCTAGGCCAAATCCTGAGACTTGACAAAGAGAACCAAAGTGCGGAAATTACTAGAAGAGCAAGACTAGCATGGGCAGGATTTGGAAAACTTAGTTGGATACTTAAGAACCGCAAAATACCCCAATACTTGAGGAGCAAAGTGTTCAACCAACGCATCCTTCCTATCATGACATATGGATGTCAAACCTGGACCCTAACCAAGGCAAACATGAATAAACTAGCCACAACAGAAAGAGCAATGTTAGGTATACGACTGTCAGATAAAAAGAGGAACGACTGGGTAAGATCCAAAACAAAAGTCGAGGACATAACAACAAAAATTGCCAAACTTAAATAAAGCTTGGCGGGCCACACTGCTAGACAGAAAGACCAACGTTGGAATACTACAATATAACATTGGAGACCTTACGAAAGTAAACGACCAAGAGGAAGACCACAGATGAGATGGGTTGATGACATTAAAAGAATAGCCGGAACAAATTGGAAATATGTTGCTCAGGATAGAGACCACTAAAAGGAGTTGGGAGAGGCCTATGTCCAAAAATGGACATAGGCTTCTCCTATGCTAAGGCTTCTCCTATGCTAAGGCTTCTCCTATGCTAAGGCTTCTTCCTATGAAGGCTAAGAAGAAGAAGAAGAAATTTATATTTATCTACAAGTATTGTTAAATTAAATTTAAAAATATTTACCGTCTGTCCATGAGTGTGCACAAAGGATCATTGTCACTGAATCCTTGCTGAGCCTGCTTCTTGCCATGGTAGGAAATTTATCCTGGTAGTATTTCCACCAAGATAATATATCCATCTTTCTAACTTCTTGTTCGTCTGCTAGATATCGATTCAGTTCAGTTCGTTGTCAAGGCGCACCCTTTTCTTGTACAGTGACAAAATTTTGAAATCATCCTCGCCACTAAATGACCCAGGAGAAGATCCAACTTCCTTGTTTGTTACTTCCAGGTTGTGGTTCTTTTTTTCATATTTTTTATATAATTCTCTTTTTGTCTTTGTTGCTTGTTTCAAGGAACGGCTCCATTTCGGTAAATGGAAAGCTTCCATTTTGCGGCAAGGACCTATTACTATAGAAATACACAATACAAAATTTTTTTTATTGTAGTATTTAACAATCTTATTTCTTGCTGCTATAAATGAGTTTTTCTGATTGAATTCCTGGTCATTGTTTTGGTCAGTTTATAATTTCTAATATTTTTTTGTCGAGGTAGTCGAGTAATACCTATATCTACATGACCACACTGGAGACGTGACATACTTTTCACCTCTTAGTAAGTCTGTAAGTTATTTGCAGTTTTTTAAGAAATCTTCTATTGGTATTGGTAAATCCCATCTTGTATCTACAAGTATGGGATGATACCATGCCATACTCGTCTAACTTGAATTTCCAAATTCTTCCGATAATAACAAAAAGGATTTTCTGACATTAAAAATAGATTATTCTGTCTCTTTATAAATTTTGCTACGATTATAATTTGCTTATTGGGGGTTAAGGGGGGACTGAACAATTACTGGACTTGGAGGTAGGATAAGCAAAAAAATTAAAACGTTTGCGAACGGCTACTCGTGTTTTGGTTGGAGAATAAGGTCGTGAATAAAGATTCCTTTGTTTTGTGGACCAAGAGAACTAACTACGAAAAGGAAATCAAGAACTACAGAGATGTCCTAGGCAAATACTAAACAGGAAAATTTGTAAACTATTTAAAATTGGGACGCAGTTAAAAAAATCCTTTTAATGTTTAGAAAGAAAGCTTTAGGGTTTTTCTTTCCTAAAAAAAATTAAGGGTGGATATTGTTTAAAATTTTTTTTAAACTCATAGTTTAAAGAGAAAAGTTACATATTTACTTTTATTGTATATAAGCAGTTGTTACAAAAAATATCTAAATCTATCAAAATAAACCTTCTAACAAAACAAACTTTAAAACTATAGTTATGTACCAAATGACAGAAATAAATGCAATAACTGTCATATGTCTAAATGAATCTAACCAACTATCCTAAATTTTTGTAATAAATTACCAAAGGTTAATTTTATTTAAAGGAAAACTAAAATAAGGCAATTAGCTAATCCACAAAACTTACATTTATTTCTGAACTGTTTAAATTAACATGAGAGCAAATCTTAGTAGGTATATTAACGATAAATGTTTATTTACAAAAATTTGCAAACAAAACAACAAAACTACTTGCTTCACTGGTTAGTTATTTCTTTATAAATTATTAAAAATAGTTTGTTAGCTTACATTTAAACAAAAAAACATTTGTCAAATAAACTTTAAACAGGCACAAAATGGATGGAGAATGGACAAATCCTTGAAGAAATCAAATCAAATACTAAAATTAGAGTTCGGGTAATCCTGAATGAAAACAATATATGATTCTTCAAACTTGACTAATTGTTTTACACCATGCTGGCTTACTTAGCCCTCAGATGCTGTTATCAAATTTCTTGTCACAGCATACAGCTTACAGCTTACAAGAAAACGGCGATTAACTCACTTTACAAATATTGTTACATGGCGTATTGAGCTTAAATCTCCCTTTTCAAACCAAAACTCATAAAATCAAGAAAAATTCTGCCCGTTGTCAAGACTCTGCGCGAAAATAAATTTTACACCCAGTCGCTACCATTCTTCCTCAGACTCTCAAATTGTTTTCCTGACCGCTCATTATCCACTGTTCCGATGACCAAATTCGGACTTACACAATGAAAGCGTTTGTTTCTTACGGCGCTCCAAAGTTAAGTGACATTATCACCCAAAATCATTCACTTGTCCGCATAAGCAGAAAGATTATTATTTATTTCCTTCACTGATATCTAGGCAGAATCGAGACTAAACGAAAGAGCTATTTGGTTATTATAAACAGACTTCAAAATTTTTACATTACCAATCTTGGAGACGCAAAAAGATTAAGAATATTTTTATTTTTATGAAATACGAGGTGAAACGAAAATGCTATAAATTAGCAGCATGTTGTATTTCCTCGAGTTTGTCTCGTGAGTTAAGTTCATTGGCATATACTAAGGACTTTATGTATCTCCTGATTTTCTTCTTCCCGGTAACGCTCTTTCGTCAATTCAAAATTTGCGTCTGGTAAATGCTGCTTAATCGGTTAACCTAATATACTTAATTAAATGTTTATCAGCATTATGTTTGAACAAAACTGTCGTTGAAATATCTCGTGGAAGTAAATCTTGAACAGGATTGAAGTGATAAGGGTGAACATTTACTTTTTTTTAGAATTTCAATAATATACCACTGATTTCCTCGTGTTGCTGCTGATAGTTGACTTAAAATTACTTCATGATTTTCATCTTTCTTTATTAACTGTAACCTTTTGGGTCAACCACCTAGATTGTAAGAACAAAATGAACCGTTTCTCTTAAAAGATGAAATAAATTTGAAAAGGTTTTGTGATTAAGCTATGTTATCTTCTGTCTGCAAATATCAATTTATAACATCTGGCTGATGACCGATAGTAAAAATTCTCTTTTGCGTTTACGCAAGTCATCCCATCCCGTATTGCGTCATTTGTAAAATTATTGTGACGTTGAATTTCAATTGCAAAGCAATGCAACAGTACCGATGAGAGCCAAATCAAAAATAAAAATTTGATAAGAGTGTATCTTATCAATACATAGTGCAATTATTAACAAAACACGAAAAAAAAAAAAATTCATCTTTAACATAAAGCTTTTTCGTGTTTATAATTATTTTACATAATTGATAACCTTTTTAAAACATTGAACGTTCCCAACTCTGATAATACCAAAATTATAGCATTAAAAATAATACCGCTACAACACTTCCATGTTATGTATGTATATTTAAAAATTGACCGTGAAAGTTCCGTCTCGGACAACTTCAACCAAACAAGATTCTTTCGATAAATCAGTTTCTGTTTTGAAGATGTTGTTATTAGTGCTACTTTCAATATTGGGTTGTATAGTCAGTATTCTAGTACTTTTTGTATTTCTGTTGTGGTTATATGTACACTTTGAATATGTTGCTTGCACTAGTGATGTTTGTTTAGTGGGAAAAACGGCATTAGTTACAGGTGGAAGTAAAGGTAGGTTTTATTTTTTTTATAAGGAAGCTATTCTTCCTTATCTTTTTTTCACTGCTTTAAACCGTTATATTTTTACTAATAAGAATTGAAATAACAGAATTGGTATGGGTGTTACCAGGTTTATTCTTTCTCAAAATATTCTTAATTTCAAATATATATCGTTTTATTATCGTTTAGTATTAATTCTGACAATAATTATTAATATTAATAATTTTGCAATATTTCAATATAAAATTTTATATACTGGCGAACTATTGCCTAGTCATTCGACACTGAGGAGTATTCAGATTGAGACCTCAGTGCTGTTTGACGGCTCTTGTATTTCGACAAAATAGGATACTAGTACGTCACGAGTGAGGGGACTAGGCAGATTGAGACCCCGAACTCAAAAGTAACCGTATACCTCTTGATAATGGCTCCAAAATGGGTGCCGAAATGTCGAGTTTCAAATTCTCAACACGATTCTTCCCGAGATCTAAGTAATATATATATATATATATATATATATATATATATATATATATATATAAATATATGTAAATATATATATATATATATATATATATATATATATATATATATATTTATCAAATTATTCTCGACCGTACTGTGTTAAATATTATTTGTAGTCTCAGCAATTGGTCTGTGTGAAATAAAACTCTATTTGTTATTTCTCAATATTTCGTCACGATTTTGTGACTTCTTCAGGAGAAAATATTGAGAAATAACAAATAGAGTTTTATTTCACACAGACCAATTGCTGAGACTACAAATAATATATATATATATATATATATATATATATATATATAAATATATATATATATATATATATATATATATATATATATATATATATATATATATATATATATATATATATATATATATATATATATATATATATATATATAGTAAACTCTTAAATATTGGGGAAATCTGCAAGAAAAACTCTAATGTGTATCAATTATTTCACCTTACGTTTTCGCCAAAGAGAATTAATTTGGCTTCTTCAGGGCTGAAAGAGAATAAATTATAATTAGATACCATATATTATCTAATAAAAATCATTTCCCTTACCGTAAATTTTAGAAATGTCGAGTCTTTAGCTAGTAACAACATAGTGGTGTTTTTTTTTGTTACTATGTGCAAAAAAGTTATTTTTGTTAACGTTGGAAATGTATGCTAGCTTTGAACTTAAAACGCAAAGGTTTACACAAGGTTAATCGAAAAAACCCAATGTAACTACATTTAAAGGAAGTAATTCTTTGAATTGTCGGCAATAACTAAATTTTTGATTGTTATAAAGTATGAATGTGAGGTTCTGTTTTCATAGAAAGCAAACGCTGACAATTACAAGTAGTTTTTTGAATATTTATGTCATTAAGGTTCATTGGTAAAACGGATGAAGTTAGATCCCAGTCTGGGGAAATATTAGTTTAGAATTTTCTTAATTAAAATTCTTTTTTAATTAGTATATTGTTCGTGTATTATTATATTAATATCTTATTGAGATATTAATATAATATCGTAGGGAAATATATTATCGTAGGTATAATATTGTAGGGAATCACGATCCTCAGCAATGAGGAAACGACAAGAGAGAGAAAGAGATTGAGATGTATCTAAGAAAAGCAAGAGAATGTTATCTTTTTTAGTTAATGAAAATTTTTAGTAGGTTAGTTGTTAATAGATATATCAGTCAAGTTAGTTATCTGTGATGTTGTATTGTTCTTGGTATCTGATTTAAGTAAGAAATGGTATATATCGCTTAGATTCTTAATGTCACTCTTAACATTGATGGAAAAATCGTTAAGGAAAATATAAGACATTTCAATGAATTCTCTTTTAGATTTATTGTTCTCACGGTGGAGAATTGTAGTGTTCGTATAGTATATATTTTCCCTAATCATCCTTATGTCGAGAAAGGGGACGGAACAATTACCATCTTCCCTCTCTATAGTGAACTGGATGTAGGGGTCATAATTATTAAAGGTGTCTAATAGTTCATCTACCTTGTCATTCTTCTTCTTAGAGTGCCGTCTCCCTACGGAGGTTGGCAATCATAATAGACGAGTCAAGTTAGTAGAAAATAAGCGTTTTTTCGACACAAGTGTATAGACGGGTTTGATAGTTGAAATGGATAGTATGAGATATTACAAAAAGACTCTCATCTAGGGATTCATGAATTTTTTAGTGGAACTATTTTTAAATAAACAATTAAGACGTCAATATCATTATTTTGCTCATAACTTATAAACTTGTCTATTTAGAGATTTCACGTCCACAGACGAGTTGTTGAGAAAGAAAAAATACACAAAATGAGATATACTAAATTAAAATCGGTTAATAAACAAAAAAGTTATTGCATAATAACCAAGCAAAACGGCTGATTTTGATTATTGTTAATAACTCTTTTAGTAATCAATAAAATTTATTTAAATGTATCTAAACTTTAAGATCTTATCGTGTTCGAAGTGTGTGCGAAAGATAGGCTAGATCCGTCAAATAGTTTTTGCACAATTTAATTTGTTTATAAGATTTTTTGAAAAATGCACAAATTTCTAAGGCCGGTCCAGATAATTTGACTGAATGGATCTTAATAATCCGGGGCTTATTTTCTTCGATGAGACATATATTAATATCCTGTGGAAAAAAAATACGTTTATGTACACAAAATGATTTATTAATAAATAGCACTTTTTAAGTTTATAAACATTTACAATAACTCCGTACTATTTAGTTTAAATTAAATGGCACTAAAATATTCGGAAGGCGGGTTTAAAAAACAACAACTTTAAAAAAAAAAAGGTCCTGCGACCATTAGGAGCCGAGTTAGTCCTTTTTTTAAAAAAAATCACTGTTACGTCAATTAACAACATTAAGGGCTGAAATTAACCAATATTTTAGAAGAAAAGTCAAAGTTATTCACAAAATGTTTAGCAAAAAAAATAATTGAAAATTGTTTAAACAGGAGTGTTGTAAACGAAGAGTACTTTGCGTTCCGACTAGAATGGAAGGAGTTGGGATTGCCGATTGCACACAAACCGCGCTCTCCAAAAAAGTCGAGCGCACGGTTTCAAAATAGAGTGCTTGGAAAAAATGACATATCTCGGGTTCTAGTGGACCAAATTTGTTCTTTTTTTTTTTAAACTGGGGTACAACGTTAAAATAATAACATTTAACGTACTTTCATTGCAAAATTATTCAAAACAAAGCAGCTAATGACTACGGAATGTACAAACTTTTTCTTAAGTCGTCTTTTTATTGTTATTTTTCTATTTATTTATTTCAAATATGATTATATTTAATAAATGTTATAAGTAAATGAACATTTTGAATAATGTTTACTAAAAATTTATTAATGAAATAATAAATTAATTTTATGTTATTACAGAAGTTGAAATTTTGTGTAGTGATTTTTTAAAATAATTTAATTTACTGTAATTTTCTACGCTTAATTTCTATATCGTCACTGCTACTACTATGTAAACATTCATCTTCACTTTCATCTTCAATTTCACTTGTATTATAACTTTCATAAATCATTTCATTTTCATTGTCGCTATTCTCATCAAACCCAGTTAAATACATTTCATCAATTATCTCTTGTTCATCTGTTGTATCGTTTTCTTCTTCATTAATAATTTCATCAATATTAGTACATTATAATAGTAAAATAATATTATATTCAAAGTTAACCGTATATTATTCAGACAACGTGGTACAACCATGTGTTTATATTAATATATATCACAACACGTAGTTTTTTTTAATACTCAGATGAATTTTACTTACCATTAACTATTTGTAACAATTATTAAATAAAACAAAACACTAAATATTTCAATACAACAAACCGGTTGTATAGCCTAACAGCATCTGCTTTCGACGTGCGCTCGACGCTCGACTTTTTTAGAGCGCGGCTTGAGTGCAATCGGCAATCCCCACTGCTTCCATTTGAGTCGGAACGCAAAGTACTCTTGGTTTACAACACTCCTATTTAATCAATTTTCAATTATTTTGTTTGCTAAATATTTTGTTAAAAACTTTGACTTTTCTTCTAAAAGATTGGTTAATTTCAGCCCTTAATGTTGTTAATTGACGTAACAGTGATTTTAAAAAAAAAAAGGACTACCTCGGCTCCTAATGGTCGCAGGACCTTTTTCTTTTGTTTTAAGTTGTGTTTTTTAACCAGCTTTCCGAATATTTTATTGCCATTTAATTTAAACTAAATAGTACAGAGTTATTGTAAATGTTTATAAGCTTAAAAAGTGCTATTTATTGTTAAATCATTTTGTGTACATAAACGTAATTTTTTTTAACTTTTTTTTCCATAGGATATTAATATATGTCTCAACAAAGAAAATAAGCCCCGGATTATTAAGATCCATTCAGTCAAATTATCGGACCGGCCTTAGAAATTTGTGCGTTTTTCAAAAAATCTTATAAACAAATTAAATTGTGCAAAAACTATTCGACGGATCTAGCCTATCTTTCGCACACACCTCGTACACGATAAGGTCTTTAAGTTCAGATACATTTAAATAAATTTTATTGATTAATAAAAGAGTAATTAACAATAATCAAAAACAGTGGTTTTGCTTGGTTATTATGCAATAACTTTTTTGTTTATTAACCGATTTTAATTTAGTATATTTTATTTTGTGTATTTTTTTTTTCTCAACAACTTGTCTGTGGACCTCAAATCTCTAAATAGACAAGTTTATAAGTTATGAGCAAAATAATGATATTGACGTTTTAATTGTTTATTTAAAAATATTTCCACTAAAAAATTCATGAATCCCTAGATGAGAGTCTTTTTGTAATATCTCATACTACTTATTTCAACTGTCAAACCCGTCTATACACTTGTGATGAGTAAAAACCTAACTTGATTGGCCTATAATGGCTATTCTTATTTTAGAACTTGCTGCTCTAAACAAATCAATCGATCTGACCTTGTCATTGGGTATAGCCAAAATTATATCATCAACATA